TATGAACCAATTGTTGGTCACCGGCTTCCATGGGACTGCATCTCCTTACGATGCTCCACTGCCTTGTGGATCAGACCTTCAGGTCGAAGGCTCGGGGAGTGGCGCCCTAAGAAAACCACCTGCTTCGGTTTGGGCACCCGGGCAGTATCACAGCCCTCACACATATCGAATGAGATTTGTGTGGCGCATATGTATTTGGTGCCTCCTTGTACCAATATCTATGTGTTAAAATAAATAAATAATTTCATGATCACTGTAATGATGTTATCTCCGCTTAAATCATTTACTCACTAGTGACTAATTTCAAGAAGTAATTCCTGGATTTCTAGTGAGAAGTGATTATTAGAGTTCTACCGTGTCGGGTATGGGACAGTTACTCACCAAAGATAATGGATGGTTATTGAGCAAATTCGCGAATTGATTGAGGTTTGGCATGTACGTCACTGAATACCGGCTCACTGATCTAAAAGTTGAACGTTTACGGCGAAATCTGAGGATAATGTATGCGCACTGATGAAGTACCCAATACCAGGACGAAAGAGTTGTCCATTAGCTCCTGGTCTTCAATGGATGTCTAACACAAATCCTTTCTTGATCTCGATTGCATATCTTCTCTCGGTCTTTTCATGTTTTGTTAGGAAACAAAAGAAAAAAGAATATTTTTCATTCGATTGACTAAAATTTTAATATAATTTCTTTAGTTTTCATTTCGCTTCTATTTGTTACTTGTTCGTCCAATCGTGGAAAAATAACATACTATTATGATCTGGGGAGTTGAAAGAATTTTCAAAAATGTGCCAATAGTAATACACTTTGGATCAATAAACTTTAGAGAGGGAAAGAATGATTGGCTATATTTCTGATGATGTATTAGGATTATTTTTATACTTGTAATCCTGTAATTCCATTAAATCTTTGTGAGGTATTTTCCCTGTTTATTTTCCCATTACTGTCGATATTATGTTTGTATGCTTTTTTTGATGATAATACATACAACAACTTGAACTGCTACGCATTTATGCCGGATCCCATACGTTAAGTCACTTCTAACCTTCAAATTATTTGGTGAATTCAAGACGAACGACCATTAATATGAGCATTATTAGTAAATCCCTAAAAGAATAAATAGTATATATGTTCAAGAAATACTTTACAATAAATAATTCATAAAACCTCATCTACTTGAAACCATATGTTTAAATATTTGTGGATGTTCTTATATATACTTTTTTTCTTTTTTACATTAGGGTTTTTGCTGCTATCAGTTTTGCAGCACAAGCACTTGGTAGAACATCACATTTGGGACCAGAAATGAAGCATGCTTCATTGGCAGCTAATCGAATTTTTAAAATTCTCGATAGAGATTCTAAAATTCCTGTAGATGAAGGTTTATGTCCTGACCAGTCTATAAACAATCTTCCTATCGAATTCAGACAAGTATCATACAGATATACATCTAGGCCAACATCTTGGGTTTTAAAGGTAACTGATATATTTCAATAAGATAAAATTATAATTTTAATTATAAATTATGATTTATGGTTCGCTATATCATTAGTAGTAACCGAACTCTTTAAAATCTCTTAAGGGGATTAAGGAATCCTCACCTGTAATATACGGCCGATATCGTATCTACCCATTAGATGTTATGTAGTTACACTAAAGATATCAAACGGATATTACTACTGCTTACTCAAGTATGAGGTCTGACACATCAAAAAAGAAACAAGAGATATTATCTCAGAGAATAATCATTTGAACAGGATAACAACCTATGAAATACTTTTGCCCATTGCAACAATTAGCATCGAGCTTACTGGAGGCCCAAATCTCTAGCGGACTGGACTTGGACACAGCATTCACTGTGAAATAATCCTCGAAAATCAATCGATATTCGTTTGTATTAGGTTGAACTAATTGAAGATATTCAATTTAAACGCATGTTATCTTGATATTTTGCTGCATTACTGCTGCTCGCATACATTTTCTCGCTAACCAACTCATGTCAGTCAACTCTAAGTTGTTTATGTTTATTATTGTCTTAATATTCTACGTTATTTTGTGGTTACGTTTCGTACTGTTGGTCACCAGGCTAGGTACAACAATTTAGAAGCTTTATATTCTCCCGTTGACAGATTCCCTCAGGACCTTAGAGGCAAAAATATAAGACGAGCCCCACTACCCACTTGGGCGACTAATCCACAACACCTTTGTAAAATTTCAAAAAAAACTACCTGTCTACTCTGGTTAATATTTTCGGCAGTAAGGCTCTTTACCGTTACAGAGCCACAACTTCGTTTTCCTGTTCCTTTCTGACCCAAAAACATTAACTAGTTGTGTACTATTTCGTGTTCGACATAGCAGTCCGGAAGAGTTACTTTTTCCTCGTGACTAATTGAAAGTCACTAAGAGCTTGCGCGATGATTTTTGCATTTCACGAGCCTATTTAACCTAGTTAGTCATTAAAAAGGAGACCTTTTTGACGACTCTTTTCACTAAGATCTTGACCAGTCATCCTCTACCATGTTAGAAAAGCGTTTCTTCAATCTGTTCTTGTCGAATTATTACAATCCTGTCTTCATAGAGAAATCTACCTTATTCAATAAGAACTAGTGTGTCCTGATCATATTTCCCCCAAACATTTGATACACAATACCTCGTCGTGAAATTGGATCGGGTGAAAGTGGTGATATGACTTCTCAAAATAGATGGATTTGCGACGAGAAAAAAAACAGAACTTAAGACTCACATTTTATTGATATAAAGAAACCGGTGTTCTAACATGAAACTGTGTAACTTTTCGTCCCACTAGGACTTTTCATGGACATTCCAACCTCGTCAGAATACCGCTATTGTGGGGCTTTCTGGATCTGGTAAAACTAGCATATTATGTTTGATTCATCGCCTTTACGAAGCTGATAGTAGTAACACAAATAGTGGGATATTTCTCAACGATATTAATATACGAACGATTTCACCTAGGTGGATTCGCGAGCAGATTTGTGTTGTAAATCAAGAACCACAACTTTTTAATCTTACACTTATGGAAAACATCGCGTATGGGAACAATGCACATCCTGTAACGATGGATGAGATAACCGATGCTGCACGACGTGCAAATATTCATGAATTTATTATGACCCTACCACAAGTAAGTTACTATCGATTCTATCCAAGGTGTGAATTGATTTTGTCGTGTGTGATCTACTTTTATCTTATTATCTGGTATAATTCAAAAGGTTTAATCGTCCCAGCAATAACATTGTCGCAAAACACCACATATCGATCGAGTCTTTGATACCTTACAAAACCAATTACTGCTCCCAATAGTTTACTGGTCGATTGTAAAGCTGAATTTCAACTTCAGCCTTGTATTGCATTCTGTCCTATTTTGTGGCAGTGAAACATGGCCGGTAAGAGTAGAGGATATTCGTAGGTTACTAGTATTCGATCATAAGTGCCTTCGAAGCATTGCTCGTATATCCTGAGACTATCGAGTACGTAACGCAGTTGTCAGGAAGCGGGTACTAGGTGAGGATTGCAAATCAATTGATGAAGTGGTGAAACTTCATCAGTTGAGATGGCTGGGACATGTGTTACGTATGCCCAACGACCGACTGCCTCGACGTGCGATGTTCAGTGGTATAGGAGTAGGTTGGAAGAAAGCTAGAGGCGGCCAGACCAAGATATGGCACAAGTCCATGAAGTCACTGACAAGTGGACTAAGTTATATTGGTAGGTGTGGACTACCTGGTTGGGGACGGCGAGATGATTGCAACCGATGGTTAGAGACCTTGAATGACATGGCTCAAAATCGTTTGCAATGGCGCAGGTGCATCTACTCTTTGTGTTCTCTCAAATTCTAATCTTCTGAATTCCTCATGTCCCTTTCTTTTTTCTCTTTCCAAATTTATTCCACTGGATTATACTCTTTGACTTAACATCTTCAAACCCTAATCTTTCTGACTACTGCTTATAATTTTACTACATCTACCACTACGGAATTTGGATCAATAACTGCATCTGTGCTAGTGTGGTATAGCAACTCGAACTGACGCATGTACGTTCGAAGTTCTACGTTGTTGATGACTGACTGATCGCATCCCAACGTATGGTCCTAAAAGTGAAGTACCCTTAAGTTGATATAAAATGGATATATTAGACCCGAAATTCTGATGCCCGATGTCAGGAATTCAAAAGTGAAGAAATCCTTACTATATTTGGCTCAGTATTAGAACAGACGAATAACTGTAATTCTGTAACACACCAGTTAATTGAATATACTGTATAATTTCCTCTTCAGGGTTACGACACATTAGCTGGTCCGCGAGGTACACATATTTCTACGGGTCAAAGACAAAGAATTGCAATAGCGCGTGCCCTCGTGCGTAAACCGAAATTGCTACTTCTAGATGAAATTACTTCTGCAATGGACCCAGAAAACGAACGGTATATTCAAAATTTATTAACAGGACTATCACAGGACTACACATATCTACTAGTTACCCACAGACTACTCTCAACGACGCAAGTCGACCAAATCTTGTTCATATCCAGAGGTAGGATTGTCGAGTCTGGCTCATTTGATCAACTAATACTATCAAAGGGAGCATTCTACGCATTGTTTTGTCCTGAAGAGATCAAACAGACTTAATGTACAAAATTTCTTGTCTTCCTAAGCGGTAACAAACTCCCAACTCATAATTCTCAAACTATCAATTAAGCGGCCGAACTTCATTAGCACGTTTAATGAACAATAAAAAAACAAAGTTTAAAGAATATTATGTATATTAACCCCACTGATTCTTCTGAAATACAACAAGTACAGAAACAAACGTCTTTTTTATAAATGCCCTTTCAGGAGGTATAATATAATTAAGCTTAACGCTAGTAAACAAAACTTAGTTTTTTCGCACAGAAAAAAAGTAGTGGCGCATTAGCGACAAACATTGTTGCCAACAAAAGCAGTTCATTTCGAAGCTTGATTTTGGGGGTATTGTCTACACAACTCCAGCTCCACGAATTAGTATTATAGCTAAGTAATCATCTTTACCATAATCTTTCTCTAGTTGCGGAGCACTTTCACGCAAGAGATTCAAAGCAAAGTCACAAGGTGGAAATGCATACAGCACCCCAGATGTAGTTTCTGCAGTTAGAGGGGATGAAGAATCGTTCGAGTTTTGGCCACCAGGATTTAGAAGAACCACTCCTGCGGAGTCTTTTGCACGTAAATATCCGATTAGGTTTCGAAGCGGTCTTTGCGGTTGTTTATCGCCATCTCCAACTTCACTGCATAAAACCGAATGTGGAGGTACAGCCAAAAGAATGCAAAACCCAGAGGAACCGGCTGTCTGAATGCGCTGATTCACGTCATCTAACTTTACTGGATCCAGTCTCATTCGTTGAGTAATGCGTAAACAAACTACCTGTTCTTTGTTTGTACAACTACTTTTAGCGCTACCATGTGCATCATCCTGAGATTCAGTAGAATCAATGTCGTCCAGTGACGTATGTTTATCTTTGTTCGACTTTTTACCTGCATGTCGCGTTTCGTTTGAATGCGCAGATGCTTCTGAATTAGATCCCTGGTACATGAACTGATCAACAAGGCTTTTGTCACCTCTCAAAATGTGCATTCTGCACTGAAAACTACTCGACTTTAGATAAAATGCTCCATCCCATGCCGAAGGAAGACAAGATGCCAACTGTTCTACGTTTGTGGATGTTTCTAATGTAGGTGATCTCGAGGAAGACGATGAATATCTGCGAGATTTTGATGATGAAGGAGAACGTGAAACAAAACGCGTCGAGTCCGCATCAGGACTTAATGAGTGGTCTCTTATACTACGTTTAGGCGCCCTTTCATGTGTAGCTTTTCTAGATCTATGGCCAGATTCTCGCCTATGATTTGACGAAGCAGAATGACTTCGGTCACTATCAACATACGTCTTTCGGTCGCGCTTGTATTTTGAGTAATGATTATCACGAGAGTAGGCATTGTCTGAAAAAGAATCTTCACGTTTTATTCGAGGTGTCAGTGATCTTCTGGATGAGTAATGTCTGGGACTTGATTCTGTGGACGAATTTCTTTTCAACCGTTTCCAATTAGGATCTCTGAACATATGTGACTCATCAGTGAAATCCACTCGGATCCGTTTATGACTTTTTCCTAACGGATATCCACGTAAAAGATCAGCTGCAACAGCAGCCGACTCGCTATCACTATAAAGAATATGGGCATAGTTTTTACCAGACGGCCAGATGATTTTTTCAGGCGCGCTGATACTATTAACAAGGGTTGCGAACTCAGGATAATTTGTCCATGGACCCAATCCACCAACCCATAGGCATCGTGTGGGAATAACTTTTCCATAACCAATTTTGAATCTGTATTCACCTATCATTTGTCCAGATAAATTAACTTTTGCGCGGTGTGCCATGTCTAGACTAAGATATCGAACAAAAGCGAATGCGGTTGCTCCAGTCTCTAGTTCACGGCGCTTAATATCAATATCTTCAATTATACCATAACGTTCGAAAAGCTTCCTCAGTTCAGGTTCCTCGACATCTGGTGGCAAATTACCCAGAAATAATGTTCTTGTTGCATTAGGATCATCTTCGGGATTGCGATGTTCTACTGGACGAGCGTAACGAGCATTGAAAATGCTAAGCATATCTTTCTCCTTACTAGTTGTTTTTCGACGATGGCTTCTTGAATCTTCATCTGTATACCTATCACTGGAACTCCGCGGAGGTCTGTGTGACGACGAACCATGGTGATCACGACCAGTCCGAGTAGCAGATGCCAGTGCTTTGGTTATGTGTGACATTTGTTTGCTCGATATTACACCTCCGGCACCTAATGCTGCAGCCATTGCGGCTGCGTTCATCGCAGCTGCGGCTACGGCCGCAACCGTTGCAGATGAACCCCGTTTAGACCCAAGAGGAATTGGAAGGTTTGGTAATTTTCCTGATGATGCAAGACTTGCTGCCAACATAGGATTAACTCGACTGGAAGAATTGACCAGTGACTTTGACGAATGACTAGATAGTCGATCACTTGATGGCGCATAGGATTTCCGTGAACTCGAGTAGTCACTGAAATAGCATGAAAAAATAAATCAAGCAAATATATGGGTCTAAATGTAAAATCAACTGGATGACAAGACTTGTCAATATAACTCAGTGGTTTAACATTTAGTTTAAAATAATTTAGTATGTGACCCGTATAGAATGTCCTTCACTGAAAAAATTTGATAAACAAAGTATGAAGTTCGTGAGGTTTATAAACATCCTTGTCCAAAAACAAGGTCTCTACTAAGTAGTTTCACTCTACTGATAAAACGCAAAACTTAGTCACGCTACATCGAGTTGAACTGAAAGGTTTACGGTGATTACAGTCGCAAGATATACATCTACAAAATAATATTACATATCAAAAATTAACTCTTATAAAGAAATAAGCAAGTTATAGTTAGAACTGCAAAAGTTGAGTGCCATTGTGAAGTTAAATAAGGCCATTCATAAGTTATGTTGAACTGAAACGAATAAAAAAATTAATGGACAGTATCTCATCTTGCAGAACCAAACGGTCATGAGTTTAGGAAACTGACTTACTTCAACTTTACCTATCTCCGACAATTTTGTAAACAGTTTGACTTTTGAAATCCCCGATAGTACTGACTTTAAAACAATGATCAAAATCTACATTCCATGCACTATTTGAGTTTCAAACAGTGTCATTTCGAAGTGAATCCTTCAGTTGAATAGCTCAGCATTTCAAAATGATACAGTTGTAACATGATTTTTTAAAAACTGCCTTCATATTTTCGGCACAACAAAATTCTCAGATAATTTTATAAGAAACGCCCTTCTAAGAACGAAGATCCTGACGTTCTGTATTGTCAGTAAGTCATAGTTGATAATTTAAATTGTTTCACTAAGGAATGCATTTCCACAAAACAACAATTAAACACTAAGAGGAACTTCTCCAGAACTTTATTTATTGAAATAATCTAGTAAGTTAATAAGTTAAGGCATTCAAAAAGCACACAAATCACTGCATCACTTAAAAAACAGTTGTAAAACTAGTGATTGAAGTTTTAATCGATTGGAAGCATTATTCAGACTTTGACGAATGACCAGATTGTCGACTGAAATTCCGGTTGCTGAGATTCCAAGGAATATGACTTCTTATCATCCTTCATAACTAGTCGTTCAGATCTAAACAAAAGTTCTTATAAAATCATTTTACTACTGAAGTGCTTGTGATAATATTGTGAATTCCATTTTCTTATGTTTACTGATTATATGGACATGATCCCTATGTTTCGTGGTACTCATTGATGAAAGACAAACTAGACGTTTCATCACAATTCTAAAGCATCTTCAATGAAGCATTTAGCTCATTATATTATCAACTTAATTTATAACGTATTAGTAGCTCGACTGTATAATGGGAACTGTAGTTTACTTTACCTTGGTAAAATCTATAGTTTACAACGTCTACATTTCTTCTAAATGTAAAAGTGACCATTTAGGTGCTCACCTGTCATCCTTATATTCATTAAAACTCATCAGAAAATAAGTCAGTCAGCTACAACGTAGGACCAAGCACATATGTGCATCGGTTCAAGTTGCTGTGTCTCACTAACGCAGCAAGATGAACATCGGATTCATAGAAGTAGTTAGTTCAGTGGTGGTGATATATAAAAGAAAGACTGCATATAAGGACATGGTACAGGAAGAAAGAGTTAGTTCGTAGGAAGATATGAAGCGATTTTAAACTCATAGTTTGAAGGAAGACAGAGAGTGTATACACCTACGCCATTGTGATCGATTCTGAGCCATGTCACCCAGGGTCTCCAAACATTGGTTACGATAGTCACGCGGACTTTAACCAAGTAATCTGACTCTACCAACATGGCTCAGACTAGAAGTTAGTGTCTTCAAGCACCGATGCCACGTTTTCGTTTGGCCGCCCCTGAAGTGGTTTGACAAGACATTATCTCCAACCTTGTGACAAGAATCCTAACAAAAACACCACACAGCGGACAATATGGATTTGTTAAGCGTTTAGTTCGGTAAATGAGACGGAGATTAGTAGTGACAATGAATAGATGTGAAAGGCTGACTTGATTAGGTACCTTAGGGCTTTTATAACTCGTTTTCAAGCAAAGAGTATGAATTAACTGCGTATTGAACAAATTACAAAATTACCATAAAGGAACTTACTGAAACTTGACAATCAAAATATTCTCCAGATGTTATAAGTGCATCTTTTGAATTCTGAATGCTTCTTACAGAACTTTCGTCGATCATTTTAAAAATTAGTTATAATCTTAGTACTTGTGGACACCATGTGCACATTATTTTGCTGAGATACATTTTATTTATTCTTCACTAAAATTGAGACTATCTATGAAATTACTTGTTAGCTAAACTGGACCAGCAATACGAGGTGGTTATTAGATAGTGAATAATTTCAAATGATATTGCAAATGCCTTAAGTCGATTCGGACAACTGTGCAGATTAGTTGAGATTAATGCAGGACAAGCATTTCATATGAGTGATAGCATAAGAATGTAGGTTTTCATGATCATATGTTCTGCTGGAACAATCTCATTAAGAAAACTTGATATTCATTTTAATCAAAAGATTTTACATGACAAAAAACTTCATTTTTGGCGAATGTGGCCTACACTTAGGCGGACGCATTTTAGCAAACATGGTCGAGTTAGCAATTTAAATGCCCGAAATATCTTCTCGATTTTTAAAATTAAGAAGCCTGAATATGGATGAGAACATATCATTCCAGGTATCTCGATTTAATATATATGAAATGCAATTTGCTCCTCTCCATTACGAATTGAAGTAACATGATGTCATTTGAGCAATTTTAAATGCATTCAATGTATGGACCGTTAATATCCATCACTCCGACAAGAATAACTGTAGCTGCTACAAGGCGGAAATCTGCTCCACTGTCATAAGTAAAAGACATGATTGCTTAAGAAATGCTCCATCATAGAAAAATTAAAACCCATAATGAGGACAAAACTTATGTACTATGCATGATGAATATGAAAGTGACATTGGGATTGTAATACAACAAAATGATACAATAGCGACTGCAAAATGAGTGAACCACATAAATACGTAATGGCATGAAATATGAACAATGATGACCGAAATCCAAAGTGTTAGCAACAGGTACTAACACGATTGAGTACTCGGAACAATTCACGCAAACTAGATACACCATTTATAAATTACCTGTGGGGGTTAAATGAGCGGCTGGAGTTGTTGCTACTGACAAACTTTGCTGCGGGATTAGGTCGAAGTAAGAATGTTTGTCTCGAACCTTGTTGGTCATATTTATCAACTGATCTGTCTTCACGTGAAGGGCGTCTTAACAGAGCCTTTCGTGGGGGACTTTTGTACTTCTTCGGAGAGTTGATGCACCCGTTAGTACCTTCCTCGTCCGATATACTAGGGGCACGGGCCTTCTTGCTGCGAGAAGCCGAGTCCTCTCTATGATGCCTCTTCATACTATGGCAGAAATTTCGAATACAGAACAACTACCTCCATGATGATTCAACTTCCAATTCTTGGTCATTTCAGTAACGTTATTCGAAGTATGTAGTCTTATTTCATGACAAAAAGTTGGATTGAAAAGTAACTTCGACTATTTTTAGATATCATTGCGCTGTTTATTTAGGAGTAATGTTTCAAACGGCTGAATATTTTAACTTCACAAGACTATCTACAACAGGTGAATTGGGAAATTCACACTCAATTTGATGTGGACGCTCATTGGAAACTCTTACTGCACACGATCTTATGCGCCAAAAAGCAGTCTTTTCATCAAATTATTCCCGAAGTCTACAAGCAATATACAATCATCAAGAATCGCTCTCTTCGTTTGCTAAACCGTAAAAGGCACTGTTGGGCAAAATGCAAAAGGACAGATAACAACGGCGCGTACAAGAAATAAAAACATATAAGGAACATATGCACACAGAAAATAATAGAAGATAGGCTTCAGTACCAGATAAAGATTATCGATAAATTTGTTTACGATCCGAAAAGCTTATTCCGTTATGCAGCCTCTTTCCGACAAGCCAAAACTGGAGTTTCCCAATTGCTAGGTCCTAATGGCCCGACTAATGACAACGATGACGTCGCTAACCTTCTGACTGAACAATACTCTTGGACATTTCAACCGACCGACGTTAACTATATTGATCAAAGCTTCATCTGCAACTGCACAAGACATCCCAAAGTGAACCTGAGCGCTGATTTGGTGTACCGGAAACTGCACCACCTAAGGAAAGACATTTCTCCTGGTCCGGACACGGTTCACTCTGCCAAACTAATGGAATCAGCAATCCTGGCAACACCGTGTACTGTAAGTTTCTCCCACTCGCTAAGCCGAGGCAAACTGCCGGATATTTGGAAGCAGACTCACATCAAACTGTAGCAGAAAATAAACCTTCCAAATAAATAGCTCTGTAAGTCTTCCACATCGGATGCTGACCACATCGTTTTTAATAGACTCACCCATCTGAAGGCGCTCGGTCATGCATCTGCACCAGATCACGAGTTGGAAGTCCGTGCTCAACACCCTCTGCATTCGCTAACCAGTCCAGATCAGTCGATCCTAGATATATTGGTAGCCCATCAAATATATCTTCGAACCACCCCGCTTCTGTCTTTGGATTTCACTTGGTGGGTACGATCCATAGTAGGTGTTACTGATTGAATACCAAATACCTGTTACGATACAGTGGGTTGGTGTAGACGATGATGTGACTTCCACGTAAGATTTCATAGATTAAGCAGTTATACCATGACAAATCTACAATTTTAGGATTAGGTCTATTATTAGAGCAGTACTGATATCAGAGTAGACCATAATTCCACACATCCTTGATCGCAAGGAGAAGGTTGACGTCACTTACCTTGACTTCTCAAAAGTTCATGATAGGGTCACCAATAAGCTTAAACCATTAGGTATCAAATCACTTCTAATTGACTGACTCATTTCATATCTCAGAAATCGACATTTTAAGGTCAGGGTTAACTTCATTTTCAGGTTATGGAATATACTAATGAGTCCCCCAATTTTCAGAACTAGGGTCTCTTCTTTTCTTGACTTATACAAACGATCTTTCAAAACAGGTATCGTCCGACTTATTACGCAACTGGGACTTCAGGAAGACCTGACTCGACTTCATGATTGGCAAATTATAACGGACATACCTTTAACACTTCAAATTGTGAAGTATTCCGTCTGAGACATGATGCAGACTACAGCTACAACTTGGGCGATTGCCCTTCTAAAAGTATCTCAAGTTGAAAAGTTTTAGAAGTGCTGGTACCCTACTATTTGAAGTCTTATTCTAACTGTGACAAAAATGCCTTTCGGGCAAACCTTGCACTATTAACATTGAAGCTCATTTTGGCCAGTTTGATGGAAGAACTTTCCATATAATGTTGTGACGACGGACCAAGGGTGAGCTCGAGGAAGCTGTAGGAGGCTCAGAAGGAGCCGAAGATATTCCATCCAATCAGCTTTCAGAAGAATATTCTAGAATTCAATATGTAGCATCTTGATTGGTCAATGCCAATAATCCCATATACGTGGATTGGTGGACTGTAATGATGAATTTGTTCTTACTAAAAACTATAAATACCTGACAATTTTGTACTATAATTGCCACTGTTTGAAATAATATTCCTTTCGTTAGTCTTCAGTCTTCTTACTGAGACTTGGAAGAGTTTTGGTCTTCTAGTGCTCTGTTATACGCAGTATATCAAGAAATCAATCAAGATATAACAAATCTTCAACAATATCATTCATCCCTATTCAGAGGACGGAAACACAGTATTTCCTCTCTCACTCCAAAAGGATAAGGACACTCTGGAACGTATTCAACGCCGAGCCACGAAATCAGTTCAAATTCAAACCTTATGAAGAGCGCCTCCACTTACTAAACCTTTACCCATTAGAGTATAGGCGTCTTAGATGTGACCTAATGGCTTACAGTATCCTTAAAACTTCTGTACATCCGCTTAAACACCTATATAAGTTTAGCCCCAACACAAACCTAAGGGCGAACACCCAGAAACTAGAAACACAACACACCAGAACGGACTGTAGACACAACTTCTACTTCCTAAGAGTTGTCAAATGCTGGATTTCGCTGCCGGCTGAGCTAGTCCAAGTGACTTCCCAAGAGTTCTTTAAGAAGGAACTTGACCTGTTCCTATGGATTAAGGATAATATCTTACTATGATTTACTAATTCCTTTTCCCTCTGTTATTGTTAATATACCTAGACTCTTTCCTGGAGGTATTGGTGATCCACTGCTACTAGACACGGAAGCCCACTGAGCGAAAGCTTCTTCAGTTTCGTCGACAACCATTTGAACCATTTGAATTCTTCTGTATTCTCATGACCCTTATTTTATCACTGAAACTATAATATTGGGTTCACTCAGACATTCATTCAATAAACTTAACACATATATATATGGTCCGCTTAAGTTGAATTACAATGTTATTTCCAAAAGATTCCCTGAGGACTCAAAGTGTTTATTTGTGTGTGGAATGTTACCCAGTGACGTTGAAACGGTAGTAGTTTTAGGTTGTGAAGATAACACTCCTCTCTCTTTAGTTTATGGTACGTTAAAACACAATTATCCAATGAACCACCACTTCAGAAAATAAATGACTACGAACTAGTGCTAAGTTAAATATAGATCCACAAAACTTCTATTTTGAGAAACTTGCATGATTTATGGAGACGTAATTATACCGCTAGTTTACTGTGATAATGTCACAAATAAATAAATATGTCGTCAACTATGGTCTTAAGCGTGCTAAAACTGCATGTTTAAACATTTAAATGGCTAGATTCATACATACACACAGTGATGAGAACTACGGTGACTTCTGTAAAATTTGCTGGAAGCATTTCAGATAATTCACAAATTTCAATGGAATGTAGTTAACATGACAAACATGCATGAAAACAGCTCTCAAGCGCACGTCGATATGGGGTATAAAATGCTAAATCAAAAAATTAGATATACAGTTTAAGAGATTATTTGTGGAGCTACTGTTTAGGAAGTGACAAAGATAAGATAGCCTTTTATAAGAGGTTGATGTGGCTAGTGCGTGATATTCAAAAGAATTTGACGTTGAAAATAAAGACAGATAAGCTGTACCCGGTTAATTCCGAAGTCGAGATGCCTTGTCTGGGAATAACAAGGTAGTATAGTGTCCTATGATGTCTGTAAATATATCTCATATAGACATCAGGTCTATGAAAATATACTTGTCTAAATGAATGCAGAATTTTGCCGCCACTTGATTTAATATAAATTCAAAAGCCATCCAGATAAATGTGTGCTACCCCCAGAATGGACAATCTAAAATGGTCTAAGACTGAAGAAACTTAAAAGTTCAAACTGACTACAAGTTTCTCATGTATTGTATTTTCTCCCTGACAATGAAACTCGAGAACCGTAGGTTTACCAATCAGAGGTCAAAAAACTATAAGAAGACAGTTCATGGTGTGAAAAGGGTAAAATGCATAGTAAAGAAATGAGATGGACAGACTATTCCAGATAGCTGTTTAGTCCTTGCTCTCATTAAGCATCGACCTTTTTGTAGTTACGACTACACGCCTCTACATTTGCTAGTGGCTGATATTTTAAAAGAACTAATCACACCGTGGCATTCAAATCCTGCTAAGGCTTGTCGATGAACCATAACATTTAATCATTGCTATAGCCGACTCGTCATTTGTAATAATCAAGAAAGTAAACTGATTTTGACTTCCGATTAGTGTAACGGCAATCTAAAATTGGTAAGAAGCAACACAAAGAGACTATTCAGTACCATAACCTTCAGAATTCCCGGGGTCTCTCTCGATCGAGTCAGTTGAAGATTTATGAAGTTATCAGCGCTGTTATGTGCTAAAAGATTTTATGATCACGGTTCAAATGTGCCGGTAGTATTCCTAAATCATTTCGCGGCTAAATAAAACTGAGGTTGAGCAAATCTGTAGAATTATAGTCTACTCTGATATCAGTACTGCTCTAATAATAGACCTAATCCTAAAATTGTAGATTTGTCATGGTATAACTGCTTAATCTATAAAATCTTGCGTGGAAGTCACATCATCGTCTACACCAACCCACTGTATCGTAACAATTACCAATACATGATGGAGAACAAGCCTAGGCTAGAGATAAAACAATATGTTTAATACGAACAAAAGGTATAAGGAAACATTCTGCAGGGACCACGCCTGTAAGGTCGATCCATGCCAACCGATCAACCCTAATTCATTCAGCGTCTTGTTCCCGCCTTCTAAATTGTTAGGTCTTTCTCCGCGTTAACTATTGAATATCTATTTTCCTAGTAGTCTCGTGTTCAGCATTGAGGATTGTGTGGTTATGGTCCAGTGCCACTAAAAATCTACCCGTGACCAGGTAAAGTGTATCAAACTCAATGAATCAAGTGGAAAGCTGATTAG